TAACCACAATAAAGTTTTTCAGTCTGCTCCTTCTTTTTCCTGCGCTTACATACATTATATCACAAAGCCTTTTGCTTAGATCATACAACAGGTTTAATGTATCCAACCAGTTTCTAATCTGTTTGTTTCTTCTTGTCCCACCTAAGCCAGCCTTTTGCTGGTTGTAGTTCTTTCTAGCCGACGAATCTCCAACATTCCTTTTCGATGAAACAATCGACACTGCCGCTCAACCACTCTATCACAGCCCCTCTTCTTGGATTTCAGCCCTCGACGGCGGAAAAGAGTCAAATTTTGAATTGACAAAAAGCCACTTCATGATGACCTTGATGTTAATCGGAACTTCTCCAAGAGGTAATTTTCACCCTTGCATTTAATTCTTTCTGGCTATTTCGAAACGCTTCCTTGTTTTCATAAAATACGCTTTCTTCAAACTTTTACGCAAAGAACACAAAGATTCCTGGCACCATCTCATTACGACAGCACGACATCGGCCAGCGTCGAGCAACTAGACACCTCTGCTCTACTACTGAAAACAACTAAGGCCTGCACACTTAGCACGGTATGCCATCCAATTGGCCTGTCATTTCCTATCCAAAGGTCCTCTAATACAGTATTGTTTTGACCCTCCCTAACCGTTTGAACTGCCATATATAGCAGTCTTTCCCATGAATTCATCATCAATAAGAAATATCAACTCGAATTTATCGCCGTTTGTTACTGGACAAATCACGTGATAATAGAAGACAAATCTTAACATAACAAACACTGAGTTTTTCCTATCATCCTGACCTTTGATAGTGCTACTCAAAAAAGTTCATAAAAAGAAGGCTTTGCCCATTCTTAATTACCGTTGGTTTTATGCAAGACCCCGACTCAAGCAAGAAAGAGAACTTATTCTTGTTAGTCTCTAAATCATGCATCAGAACAAGAACCCTGATTACTCAAAGATCGAAGCAGATGGAGGACTATATATCCCAATGTAAACCGACCAGTGAATGCAAACTGTATTCTTCAATTCTTTTCTACCATCTTATTGCGTAATCGCTGACCACATCTTAAACGACTGTATCCTGGAAAAGCATAACCTGCCGGTTTGTGTAATCAATCCCTTAGTTTCATTAAACCTCTTATTTTTGACACCTGTTTTCACAATCTTTTGTTATTAAAATGAAAACACATGCTTATTTCGAGCTGCCTACGTGTTCATGTTGACCTTGTTCTTCTGCAGGACCTATTTGCAAATGCTTTGAACAAATTCAATTATTCGTACCGCCAGCTTACATTAGTTGACGTCATTCTAACCAAGAACCAAGTGCTTTGGCTTATCTGACGCTGTTGACCAAGATGATCGCTTCGAATGTTTACTAGAGTCAATTCCATAATACAAATGTTCTAGAAAGTAAGCGACCAAATGCAAACGACGCCAAGGAAGTAGAGCGCAATCTGTGAAGACGAGTGACCTGTGGACATGTCGGCGGACGACAGGGTTCCTTCAACGACCACAGGCCAAGCCAAGATTCCCAATACTTTAATTCTTAGAATCCACCTGACATCACAGAAATATCTCTGGACAGTAGGCCTTGACGTTATGAACTCATCGATCAAAGATTCTAAGATAAACATTACTATCATCATAAACAGTCAAAATATTTTTGACACTGGTCGCAGCTAGAATTTCGTAGCTATTTCTGTTTTGATATCGCCGTACCTTTAGCCACACTTATTTTATAACTTGCCATGTATTTTATGAACATCAGCGATCCATGATTACGGTCTTGAGGAAATTCCTTCTGCTATTGCTACTCACGGATTCTTCATCTCGTTTTTGACAAAGTCTTACAATATGCGTTAAAAATGTATATTTCTTAAGATTTATGAACAGTATAGCACTGGAATTCAATTCTTCCTTCTATTTCTGCACGTTTTAATGATTCTGGTTGCCAAAGACAGAGTCCTATTTTGCTGCTGGAAGAACCAAAGTGCAACACAGTTGAAGAACAAAACTGTCAGAGCTTCCTTCACTGAGTAAGTCATTTTGTTTCCATTATGTCTTAAAACATTATGATGAAAAGGATATGCACGCTTCTATATAATTTTGCCAACTGCCTAGTATAGCCAGAGATGTACTCTTTGTTGCTTACTCAGCAGCTGAGTTATGAACATAATGTTTTACAATGTAAACAGCTTCTTCTTCAGACTTCGTTTGTCAAAGATACTCTTGATTTTTCAGTTTGTACGAAACGTTTTGAAAAAATGGAAACATGTCCTCGTTATGTTGATTTACTTTTCCCGTGACACGATCCTCGTCTTGCTTCTTACAAAAGCATTTCGCACTGACTTGCGTCGTCAGGTTCGTTGATACATCAATTAATGTTTCCATTTCTTTAATCATAGTTGACTATTTATTTCTAACAGGCGCTTAATTTGAAAAGACATTGGCGCACTTAACAGCCCGAGAGGAGATGCAGGAACTTTGGATGTGACTTGCCGTAAAGCATTCTTGGCTATGTCGTTAGAAAGACGTTATGTATGAACAGACTTTGATTTTTTGTTTTTCATGCAATCACTTCTTCCTTGCAATGTTCTTCTTTACCGCTAGTATGGAGAATCCAACTATTCCACTACTTTAATCTAAGATGTCTCCCTGTTTTACAATTTAATTAATTATCATGTTCTGCATCTACATCACTTTTCTAGCTTTTGCAAAGAACAAATCACACATCTCACCGCATGAAATAGCTCTAAAGTTCGAAGACAACGTCGCCTCAACAGGAATGTGTCAGAAAAAAACCACTTACAACATTATCTTTATTAGTCTTACACTACACAAGGCCTTTTTTAAACTCTTTGTTAATATTGTATCGAAACTTTCAGCATTTCTAACACCCACATTCTGGATGTAATAATAATAATATAATAATATAATATACGAAATACTTTATACAGGGACTATGTACATTTTAACATACATGCTGTTTTCAATATGTGTCGCTTAAAAAAAAGACAGCAATTAACTACTCTAAAAAACTCTTATAAAACTAGCAAGTGATTACAACATTTACAAAGATCCAATACGTTTATAATATCACAATTTTAACTAAAATGCTCTCTTTAACAGTCCATCGCATTGCTTAACAAAGATTCAGTTTTTCTAACGATCGATTAGGTAAGTTCGTTGCTACAGCTTTGCACCCATTAAAAATGGGACCGCACCGTTCCTAGCCATATTCTGATGTTGATGCCCGCGGAGCCTAATTAAACATTCGCTGTTTCTCTGATTACTGTGTCGTCGTTATCGTTATCCGTACTTACAATGTTCGTGTCGTTATCGTGATCGTTGTAATGTTCGTGTCGTTATCGTATCGCTTTTAACACAGTTTAATCATATTTTATGTAAAGGAAGCAAATCACGAGAGCTAATAATCAATGGTGTGGCAATGCAAAGGAAGACAAAAAAAACAGGTATCATGCCTTTTATCTTTATTGTCAATTTTCTTTGTCGCATTTTGACTTTTAATCTATTTGGCTTATGCTGAAATTTTCTCGCAACTCTGTTATCTCTGGTACAGCGTGAACGAATTATGAAAGTTGCGTTTTACTTGGGAGGAATGTTACGTTTAAATCGAAAACAATCTTGACTCTTGTTCCAACGCTGTCCCGTGCTAATTACGGATGTCGTCGTCTTATTCACATATAGTGAAGCAATTAAATTGCTTACTCAGTGTTTAACAGTAGAGGCAAGTTAATAGGTACTGAATAAACTGAAAGTGTTGGAAACGTAGTGTAGTGAAGCGTAAGTTTTAAATTCAGACTCGTCATGGTCAAAAGAGGCACATGGTGTTGGGAAAAGTTAGTTCTTTTCGGTTATTTGCTATACTAAAAGTACGAACTCAACCAAGCCAGAAACTTCTTGCCGCTTCAATAGCTACGTAGTTTTTTTTCTATATCCATTCATCCTATACAAATAAATGGATTCTCATTTCCTCTTTCTCATGTGAATTTCTGTTACGTTATCGTTGAAAATGAAGATTTGCAATTCCAACTAGCTCAGCAAAGCCAAGAGTTTTTGAGATCTCAAGTAAGAACGCTTCCTGCCTTGCACTGCAGTTGGCACTCTCGTACATTAAACAAATACAATTCTAAAAAAGGCTACCTCAGATTGAGACCTTTGCCTCTAACTACGTTAACATTGCTTTGACTCTGCCTTATCACCATATCAACATAGACTGTAATATTTGATATACTGTATCTTTTTACTGAACACCTACCGCTACTTCCAGCATTCTGACTATGGATGCAAAAAGCTATCGGCACCATGGTCCATAGCATTAATAAGCCAAAATCAAAAAAGAGTACGACAAAAGCGAAAGTTGATAACCCATGCAATAGCACTCAATATTCCTTAACAAGACTGTAGGATGGTAAGGCTTTTAAACTTAAGAAAACTGCTGTGATTGTCAATTAGTAGCTTCTGTACACACGATCAGCCATACTATATACTAGCAGCAGGTTACTCCAGAATAACTCCAGAATAAACATCAACGAAGGCGCCTCAGCTTGTATTTTGCACTTTCTGTGTGGGCTTCGATTTACTTTATTAAACCGAGATGCATTGGAGACTTCCCCCCAATTCGTATCCCAAAACGAATTCATGAGCAGTCAGTTCATCCACGAGAGTAAGGCCAAATTAACATTCACCGAGTTAAAAAGCTTTCAAATAACTCACTGCGTGCTTAATCAACATTGCAGCTTTATCACGACATGCAGCGAACGACCAGCTACTCAAGAGATCTCTGAACTCGCTAAGACGAGAACCACGGTTTAAGTTCTGGCACATTTCATAATCCTTCTTGATTTCGCTTGCTTTGGCCACTACATTTTTCATTTCCAAAAGGAGGTTTGCAAGCATCATTTCACGTGTTCGCCAGATCTAGCTATGGCTGGACGATCTGACCAATGGCACCAGTCCACCTCCAAAGCACTGGACAAGTGTTTTTGAATCAGTGACATCCTAGCAGAAAGGCAATTTGCTGCTCACCCAGCAACTCGACTCGTCTGACTTTCTCAGATATTCTCGTTTCTTTTTCGTTTCTATCATCCACCTATTCTTCGTTACTCAAACTCCTAACTCTAGCAAACTGACCGCCATGTCTTGAGTTATCCCTATTGGTAGTTCATTTTGTACTGTAGTTACAAATCAATTTCAATATTCTTGCAGGATGAGGTGAAGCCAGCTTCGAGACAGGAGTTGAGATATGATAACCGTAATTCACACTATACTTATTTTTGTATGCATTCAATCTCCGCTTGAAGGAAGCTGCTTCACCTCATCCTGCAAGATATTGAAATTGATTGTAAACTACAGTACAAAATGAACTACCAAAATAACTCAAACATGCGGTCATTTGCTAGAGTTAGAGTTGAGTAACGATAGAATAGGTGATGATAGAAACGAAAAAGAAACAAATATCGAGAAAGTCAGACGAGTCAGCTTGTGAACAGCAAATTGCCTTTCTCTAGGATGTCACTATTCAAAAACATTTCCAGTGCTTTGAGGTTGACTAGGTGCATTGGTCAGATCGTCCAGCATAGCTAATCTGCGAACACGTGAAATGATCTTGCAACCTCCTTTTGAAATGAAAAATGATGCCAAAAGCAAGACGAAATCAAGAAGATTATGAATGTGCTAGAACTAACCTGGTTCTCTCTTAGCAGTTCAGAACACTCTTGGAATCTTCGCTGCATGTCGATAAGCTGCAATTTGATTAAGCACGTGATGTTATTTGAAAAAGCTTTTTAACTCGGTGATGTATTCCTACTCCGTGGATGAACTGACTGCTCATAATTGTTTTGATACGAATTGGGGGAATCTCCAATGCAACTCTCGTTTAGATAAAGTAATCGAAGCCACACAGAAAGCTGCCAAAATACAAGCTGAGCCTTCCGTTGACTTTTATTCTGGAGTTATTCTGGAGTAACCTGCTGCTAGTATATAGTATGCTGATCTGGTACAAAGCTACTAATTGACAATCACAGCAGTTTTCTTAGTTTAAAACCTTACATCCTACATCTGTTAAGGATATTATGTGCTATTGCATTGGTTTACCAACTTTCCTTTTCTCGTACTCTTTTTTGATTTTGGCTTTTTAATTCTAGGACCCATGGTCCGATACTTTTTCCATCCCTATCAAATGCTGGAAAACGGTAGGTCATAAAAGATACATATATTCCAAATATTACATCTATTGATAGGTATACAGAGTCAAAGCAATGTTAACTAGTTAGAGGCAAAGTCTCAATGAATAGCCTTTAGAATTGTATTTGTTAATGTACAGGATGCCAACTGCAGGCAAGGCAGAAGCGTTCTTACTTGAGATCTCAAAAACTCTTGGCTTTGCTGGGAATCCTCTAGTTGGAATTGCAAATCTTCATTTTCAACCGATAACTAAAAGAAATTCACATGAGAGAAAATAAGAATCCATTAATTGTATAATGAATGGATTTCAAAAACCTACGAGCTTTAGCGGCAAAAGTCAGGGCTTGTTGAGTTCTACTTTTAAGTAAGCAAATAACCAAAAAACTAACTTTTCCCAACACCATGTGCTTTTTACCAGACGAGTCTGAATTTAAAACTTACGCTTCACTACACTACGTTTCCAACACTTCAGTTTTCATACCTATAACTTGCCTCTACTTTAAAACACTGAGTAACAATTAATTGCTTCACTATATGTGAAAAGACGACACATCCGTATTAGCACGACAGCCTGAACAAGAGTCAAATTGTTTCGATTTAACGTAACATCCTCCCAAGTAAAACGCAACTTTCAATATTCGTTCACGCTGTACAGAATAACAGAGTTGCCGAAGAAACATTCAGCCAATAAGCCAATAAATAAAAGTCCAAAATCGACAAAGAAAATTGACAATAAAGATGAAAAGGCATGATACCTGTTTTTGCTTCCTTTGCAATTCCACAACCATTGATATTAGCTCTGTGATTTCTTCCTTTACAAAATATGATTAAACTGTGTTAATAACGATCACGATAACGACACGAACATTAACAACGATCACGATAACGACACGAACATTAATAACGATAACGATAACGACACGAACAAGAAACAGCGAATGTTTAATTAGGCTCCCGGGCATCAACACAGAATATGCTAGGAAGTCGTTCTATTTTATGGATGCAAAGCTGTACAGCGAATTACCAATCAATCTTAGAAAAACTGAATCTTTTAAGCAATGCGATGGACTGTTAAAGAAGCATTTTAGTTGAAAATTGTGATATTATAAGTATGGAACTTTTAAATGTTGTAATCACTGCTAGGTTTTATAAGAGTTTTTTATAGGTATTAATCTTTCTTTTTTTACAGGACACATATTGATAACAGCATTATGTTGAAATGTACATATCCTGTATAAAGATTCGTTATATTATTATATATTATATTATTATAATTACATCAGAGTTGGGTGTTAAGAAATGCTAAATTTCGATAAAAAATTAACAAAGAGTTTAAAAGGCCTTGTTTAAACTATAGAAAGAATAAATGTGAAAGTTGTTTTTTCTGACACATTACCTGTTGGGCGACGTTGTCTTCGAACTTTAGAGCTATTTCATCGGTGAGATGTGTGATTTGTTCTTTTGCAAAAGCTAGAAAGTGATGTAAAATGCAAACAATAATTAATAAATTGTAAAACAGGAACATCTTAGATTAAAGATAGTAAAAGTTGGATCTCCATCTAGCGGTAGAAGACATTGCAAGGAAAGTGATTGAATGAAAAACAGAAATCAAAGTCGTCAACATAACGTCTTTCTACCACATACCAAGATGCTTTACGCAATCCACAACCAAATCCTGCTCTTCCTCTTCGGCCTGTATCGCCATGTCTTTCAAATTAAGCGCCTGTAGAGAATAAATATCAACCTATGATTAAGAAATGAAACATTAGTGATGTACAACGAGCCTGACGACGCAATCAGTGCAAATTGCTTTTGTAAAAGCAAGACGATCGTTTCACGGAAAAGTAATCAACATAACAACATGGTTCCATTTTTCAAAACGTTTCGTACAAAACTGAGAATCAAAGTTCTTTGACAAAACAGAAGTCCTGAAAAAAGAACATGTTTACATTTGTAAAACATATCTCAAACTCAGCTCTGAGTAAGCAACAATAAATACACTCCTGGCTATAAGTGGCAAAATTATATAGAGCTGCATATTTCATCATAATTTAAGACAATAATGAAACAAAATATTACCTCAGTAAGAAGCTCTACATTTTGTTTTTCCAACTGTTTGCATTTGTCTTCCAGCAGCAAAATAGACTCGTCTTTGCAACCAGAATCATTAAAACTGCAAAAAAGAAGAATTGAATTCCAGTCAATACTTTCAAAATCTTAAGAATATACATTTAACATATTGTAAGACTTTGTCAAAAACGAGAAGGAAGAATCCAGTGATAGCATAGCAGATAGAAATTTCAAGACGTAATCATGATCACTGTTACAAAAATACAATGGCAGTTATAAAATAAGTGGCTAAATACGCGATATCAAAACAGAAAATAGCTATCAAAATTCTAGCTGCGACCAGTGCAAAAATATTTTGACTGTTTAGTATTGATAAATATTTTTATCTAGAACTTGATCATGAATTCAAAGTATACCTGCTGCCAGAGAATGTTTCTGGATGCAGTGGATCAAATTCTAAATTGGAATCTTCTTCTTCGCGAAGAATGTTGCGAATCAGGTCATTCTTCAGATTTACTTCGTGTTTCATTTGTTCTTTCTAGAACATTAAGGAAATTGACTTCTAGTAAACATTCAAGCGACACTTGGTCAACAGTCAAAGCCAAAGCACTTGGTCTTGGTTAGAATGACGTCACTAATGGTAAGCTGGCGGTACAAAATGAATTGTCAAACATTTGCAAATAGGTCCTGCAGAAAACAAGGTCACAATGACACTCAAGCAGCTCAGAAAATAAGCAGTGTTTTCATTTTATAACAAAAGATTGTAAAAAAGGTGTACAAAATCAAGAGTTTTATGAAACTAAGGATTGATTACCAAACCGGCAGGTTATGCTTTTCAGGATAAAGTCGTTTAAGATTGGTCAGGATTAGCAAAAGAGTTAAAAGAATTGAAGAATAAGTTGTATTCACCTGGTCGGTTACATTGGATATATAGTCCTCCATTGCTTCAATCTTGAGTAACAGGTTCTTGTTTCGATGCAGAAGAGACTAAACAAGAATAAAATTCATCTTCTTGCTGAGTCGGGTTTGCATAAAACCAACGGTATTAAAATGGGCAAACTTTCTTTTATGACTTTTTTGAGTAGCACTATCAAAGGTCAGATGATAGGAAAAAACTCAGTGTTGAGAGTAAGATTTCTTTCAGTTATACGGATCTTTCAGTAACAACGGGCATAATTCAGTTGAATATACTTTATTATGATACAGAAAACTGTATAATACACAAACGTTAGGGAGGCAAAACAATACTGATTAAGACCTTTCATAAATGACAGCCAATTGGAATACCCTATTCATTCCATTTTTTCATATAAGCAAGTTGTCTTAGTTGCTCACCTGGCCAATGCGTGCTGCTAATTCCAAATCTTTTTCTTTCTAAAATGAAGAAACTTTTTTGTGAAAACAAGGAAGCGTTTTGAATAGCCAAAAAAACGAATTAAATGCAAGGGTTGAAAAATTACCTCTTGGAGAAGTTCCGATATAACATCAAGGTCATCATGATGGGTTTTTGTCAACAAATTTGCTCTTTCCGCCGTCGAGGCTGAAATCCAAGAAAGAGGGCGTGGTAAAGTTTTGCCATTCATTTTTATCGAAAAAAAGGGAATTTGGAATTACATCTAGAAAGAACTACAACGAGCAAAAGGCTGGTTTAGTGGAACAAGAAGAAAACAAATAAAACTTTGATAACAATTAAACTTGTGATATCAAACAAAAGGCTTGTGATATCAATTATTAAGCCAGAAAAAAAGGAGCAGACATGAAAAAACTTTATTGTGTTACTTGAAGAAGCTGAAGCTTGTCAAAATGAAAAGTAAACAGAAAAATTACAGTAGCAGTCAAGTCAACAAAAACTGCAATCTCGCTACCTTGGCGTCAATACCTCGAGCGATGTAATTGTGACTCGAAACTAACATCATAACTAACATTAGGTATGCCATCGAAGGCTAACATCATAACTAGATATCAAAATGGCAATTAATAAACACAAAACTTGATATAAACGAGCGAGGCATACCTAAGGCAAGGATCATTTGAGTAACCTGATCAACTTCATGCTCATTCATGTTGTCAACCATCAAAGAAAAGGCTTCATTGCTCACGCCTATTTTGGATAGCAAATTCTCACAAAAATCCCATTTTGCCATATTATCTAAGTGCTTCTTCCCAGTATTTCACGCTTTAGTGAACGAAAATTATCGAAATAATCCGACTTTGATCAGCATTGCGCTGTGCTGCAATCTTCCATTACCATAGAAATCTTAAAATTGAGGCCTAGACTAGCTGTTGAGCATTCTTATTGAGTAGAGTACGATTGTGGCTCGGATGGCATTGTCATGAAATTAACATGATAATATATTCATTAATAATTTACGGGCTAGCTGAGTGTATGCTTAACTCATAAGAACGCAGCCAGATGACCGTGAGTATGCAGGATAACGAAGTATTAAGTTTCATAAACATGGACAAAGTATTTTCACAGTGCAAATTTATAACATTGTCAATATTTCACAAATCCTCTCGTTTGTCGTGTGATCAAAATTCCAGATCTAATGCAACTGCTGATATCAAAATTTGCACTATGGGATTTTTATTATCTTTCCAAAGAAAATGCGATTTTCAGACGTTTTGAGGGGTTTTGATGTGCAGCTGGTTTGTTATTGGTGATCTGCATTAACGACGACATATGCAGCAAGGCAATGTACGTCACTAATTTTTAGATATTTGACATATGCCAAGTGCTAGATGACCTCTTTGTGAATGACGATTGTATCACTGGATGCAAACCGCTTTAAAAACAGGATAAAACTGGATAAGGTCTTTGAAGCAAACAAAGAAGGCACGCAAAAAGCTTTTAGGGATTTGAATAAAACGAACCGATTTTAGATCCCCAGAAGATTTGAATCTAGAACTGTCCCTAGGGAGCGAGGACATCTCTAGTAGTAGCATCACAAAGGAAATTTAGGCTTGAGATTGTACGGCATTTTTTAGGGATGATGAGAAAAGAGCGATGATTCGAAGGATTAGGCAGGAAGAAAGATAGAAAAACCGAGGAAGTGATGAAGCTATAAAACGAAAAAGTCAGGAATTAAAGTTCTACTTTCAGAACAGTCCGAGCAATGGGCGCTTCAAGAGGCTGAGGTAATATCCGTCAAAACTCTGATAAAAATATTCAGCATCATTGCTTCGTCATTCTTAATGAGTTCAGCAGCTGACACCCAAAATATCAAAATACAATGGACTAACCAAACGGCAGCAAGATTCAGCACTGAGCAGATTCAGTTCTGTTTGTTTGGCTTGCCTATTAGAGATGTGGGCTTTTCTTCAATGTTTCCCAAAGAAGTCAATATTACATTTGTTTTCCTTTGCAAAGTGCAAACACCCAGGAAACAAGAGGAAGCTACGGATGTGTGATTAATTACGTTACAGATACGTTGACAACGAAAGGTCTTAACAACATAGATACAGCGGAGGATATTATAATGGATAGACAGTGGCCATTCCAGCTCTATGAAGTTTGAAATCTAAACAATGATGCAGAAACTCCAACCATTAAAAGTAAAGTAGTATGAGCACAAGTGACAAATTAAATTATATTACTACTTGCTATTCACTTTTTATTGTGTATTTCACTGAAAACTATAAAGGAAACAAAATTAGGCTTCACAGATTAAACAGTTACTGCCTCTCCCCCAAGAACATTATTTGAGGTATCTAATAATGATTTTTAGGGTTTGTGGTTTAACTTCAAAAATACTGATTACCGAGAATACTGAAACTATATAAAAGGCAAAGAAAAAGCTGTCACAATGGTTTTCCATGATAGAATGTGGCTCATTTTTATTAAGAATGTACAGATGATTCAGGGTGTAGTAAAGTAACTACTCGTAATATAAAAACAAGGCATCAGAAATTGTTCAAGATTAATGAAAACAGTTGCTCAAACGTGACAACCAGCTCACATCACTATAACTGAGGCAACAAAGTTGGCACGCTTGGTCTACTTCACAGATAGAATGAAACCTGTCTTATGTGGTCCAGACACTTTTGAGGCACATTATAGAGACATCCACCAAAAAGGATCCTTACACTGCATTTCCTGTGGGTTTTGAAAGGGACCTGACTGTATTTTTAACTGCATTATGTTTCCAACAATTGTCCTCTTCTAGATATCCACTTCTTCTTATCATTCAGCAATTAATCCTCAGGAGGTGTTAGAATTACCCTGGGTAAACCTGACTTTCCAGGTGACAGCATTTGACTCAGCCCTTTATATCAGAACACTTCTTAACTGGCTCTTATTTTTTCTTTGAAATTAGAATAAGACCACGCTTACATTACAGAAAAAAGTACAAAACTTTGTTCTGTGCCTGAAAAAACAATGATAGGCTTGCCCTTACACTAGGTATCTTGATTCCATGCTAGTTTGAGAACCATTCCGTTCTTTGTAGGTTTCACTAACCAGTGGAAATCCTTCCCAAATCATGCTTGTTTTCTCTAGTGTGAACAATTAGGAACAGAACTTTTTTGTTAAGATTGAAATTGGGGCATAATCTAGCATTGGAGTGAGGCTTTCTGAAAATGTTGTTGCTTCCCTGCTATGCATGCTTCACATGGAAGTTACATTCTTTTTACATCTGCAAGTGAAAACTGGTCCACATTTGGTTCCATTCCATTCAGCTTCAGCACAGATGTGATGAAAAAAGAGGCATCATGCCTAAACAAAGATGGAGCCAAAGAGTTCTCTTCTTCTTTTTGTAATATAAACAGGGTCCAAAATTGCACTTGGAAACAAAGAGCAAAATATATCTATGATTTTTTGAGCAGATATACTGTTACCTGATATTCAGACTTGCAATCTAGTATATTTATTTGATACTTGGTCATAAATCACCTATTAAAATAACATCCTTAGCAGCCCTTGACCCATCACTGTCTTTGGACCAAACAGACAGACACCCTTTGGTTAATAAACAAATCACTGAATACATGAGGTGATAATGATACTTACTGAAATATCTAAGTGTGGCCAATGCTTGCTCTGCAGTAATATCAAACTCAACAGATTCTCCAATATCTTGAAATATCCATTCATTTGAGTCTGGTTCAACACCACTTTCTACATCTGCAGTATCATTGTTCATGTCTGTTCCTGGAACTAATTGGTTCATACACAACTCTGATTCAATGTCATCTACCTCATCACATAGCTCTTTGATTCCATTCCTTCCACCCAGTTCTCCAGAGCATTCAACTGAGGTACCACCTACTGGTGGCTCTTCAAAATAGAATGACATATTCACCCAGTTTCTCAGTTAATGCTCATAACCGCCTTTTGGTCATTTCACATGATGAGGCTAAATAAAAAAATTTTGAAGTAAATATATGGTTAAGCAAAAAGTATACATCGTAGTTCAAGAAAAATTAGTAAACTTTATCCCCATAGTGACTTGCAGTCTAAAGGATAGAGTAAATTAAAAAGAGTATAAAAAACGACAATACTATTACATACACTGATCTACAAGATGCATTCTGGATGATTCCATAAAATTGGACAAAAAGTACTTATTGGGAAAGTATTATGTTTCTTTGATTTGAAACTTCAAGATTAATATAATTTTGATAGTATAGTTTTTGGCGAATCTGCTTTCCCAACTCTGAAAATTTTCCGAGAACCTTAATCCCCAGTTTTTAATAGTTTTCCCAGCCCTACATTTTTGTCTTTTAGCCAAAAGATTAATTCTTTCCAGTTTTTATTGTTTGATTATATATACTCTATATGTAATTCATTATACTTAGTTCAGCCCATCCTCGGAAAGGCATGCAATCGCGCACTCACACTTTGGCACCGGCCTTGTTTCCCCAAGAATTGTGGTTTCTCACATGCCTTATCCTGGCTATGAGTTACCATCTTAACAGAAAAATTCTTAGGCCCTGTTTAAACATTAATGTTTTCATTTCATAACATACTTAGTTTCTGAATTAGAAAATCTTTGCCTGTTTAAATGTTACTGTTTAAATGGCTCTGCTCACAAGCAAATGCTGTAGTGCACGAAAACACTATACTGCAAGGGGTTTGCCTATTTTATTGTCTCTGCACAGCAGCACTTTCATATGATTTCCGAGTCAACCACTAAGAAATGTTTAAATGTAAATTCACAGATTCTCTTTACGAGATTGTCAATATTCTGATTTTATTGATTTTGTCAAACAGTAGATGAATTCAACAGATTCAAGTATGTCACACAGTGGATTCAAGCAAATAGAAGAAAACTGCTATTGCAATGTCTTTCTGTCGCCATCCTTTTTATTAGCCTGATTATCAAGGTACGTCTCCCAAAATCAAAGATTTGGTTCAGATTTATTTCATTCCACATTACAGCGAATTGATTTTGAAAGATGAATTTGATCGTTTTTGTGTAAAAAGCTGATTCAATTTTTGTAAATTTTTTGGAGAGTTTTCAAAACCTCCTGCTTTGTGGCAACACATTGATCCATTGTGTTTTCAAAAAGCTCTATTTTGGAGGATATCAACCTTTGATAGCATTTCAAAACCCTCCGTTTTTGTGTTGTTTTTGTGCTTTCTACTAAAATCTTTATAATCCATTTGCAAAATAGCTTTGATAAAAGAAAATGTATAGATACCTTTGGGCCAAATAAATCATTTAAAAATGAGCAAAAATTTTAAATTTTGTACTTTCAATAAATGTTCATAAATACTTCATTATGCTTAAATAGAAATAGCATCCCATTGCACACCTTGATTTGCCAAGGAGTGTGACTGACTACACACACGCCTGCCAATTTATTCCTAGTATGGTCTGGTATTGACTAATTGATGGCCTGAAGTTCATAATTTCCCAACCTTATGTAATAGTACGCTAAGAAAATTGATAAATAGATTACTTAAATGATAAAAAGTGAAAAATGGAGAAAAAGCTGTAAAATAGAGATTTCAGCAGTTGATAAGCAAAAACTCTTTGAAGCAAACAGAAAACATGAAGGAAAAGGGAAATGTGAAGGAAATAGAGTTATTGCAAATTTGCCTTAAACTTAAAAATTTTCTCATTTTGAATTTTCATTCTATGTAGAAATGCATATATGGAATCTCCTCTAAAAAGGATCATATTGAAATGTAAAATTTTTGTTTTTGTAGATTTGAATTTGAATTGTGGATTTGAATTTTGTAGATTCATCATCATAGCTTGAAACTTTTCTGGAACAAAGACACCAACCTTGGGCATTTTTCCCTTTTGGACTTGCAAACAGTTAGTTTTATTATGACAAACTGAGTGAAATGACAAACAATTCAGAAAGCAACCACCTTTGAAAAACCTAGGGTGCTTTTTAGAGAAGAAATGATATACATATAACCAATTCACATCACAGGTATGGGTTTAAAAGCAAGGCAACAATTTACTTTTCTTCAGAGATTGAAATCTAGCTATCAAATAATCAGTGAAAGCCAAAGTTTGGTTCATTAACAGGACAAATTTTTTCAATATTACATAACAATACATATTAAATCCTTAACCACAGTTATCCCATCAGTCAAGAAAGACTGCTGATCAGGTGGCTTGACTACTCAATCTAAGAGGTTCCTAACTCCATCACTTGGGTATGAAAATGATTGCTGACCACTACAAGTTTTCATTAGTGAGATCAGTTGTGGTGTTTTTCAAAATCTTCATACAGCATTTTATGTGGAAATCTTTGACAGGTAATTGGTAGCAAGATCAGTGGCATAGATAGTAAAATTCATAGGAGGGGCATGAAATTTAGATTTTCCCACAAAAATATATAAAGCATTTTTATTTTTTCTTATATTTGAATATTACATAATAACATCAAATTTGAAATAAAATCAAAGAATAAAATCATTTATTCATAAATCATACAAATTGAGGATTTTTAAGTTTGTGTCGTCAACAAAGGCATTTTTGAGTATCATAGCTTATTGAGAGAGATTGCCAATCTTATTCAGAACAAGGAAAGAAGTTCTTATATTCAGCAATAAAATCTTTCATTTCATAATGTAATATTCGAATAAAATAGACAACCATGTTAAATATAAGAACCAACAATATCAGAAGTTTTCTGAGTTAATAGCGTAAGGTTTACAGAGGGGTTTCTCCCTCTGATCCCCCACACTGCCTACCCCACTGAGCAAGGCCATTTCTCCGTTTGTACACCATGCAAATTTGGAAATAAATTCCAAGGCATCGATTCTTGGGGTCTCATTTCAAATATATAGTCAATAATAACAAACATTTCCAGCTTTAAGCATTATCTAAGCTGACTCTATTAGCCCCGCTCTTGAGGCCCTGTTGATAGGACCCATCTTTAAAAAATAATCCTGCATTTTAAATTAAGGAATACATTACGAAAGCTGTCCGAAAACTTGTTAATAACACCGTCTCCAAATCACATATCTGATTCTTCCTCTGGTCATCCATACATATTGTTTTGTTTAAATGCATTATGCTAACTCTTCTCGTTAGAAAGTTAGTGGCCTTCTCTGAAGGTGTGACGGAGCTTCTCTAACTCGATCCATAAAATTATAAACGGCCAACCCAGGTCCCAAACTTGGCCTAGGCAAAACTTACGATGTTTGAAATATCTGGTAGCGTATTTCCATTTCCAAACCAGCTCCTAGAAATTCTTTATCGACTATGCAGTAACCAAACAACAAAACTACTAATAAGAATACAGTACAACAAACCCACCACGACAGAAAATCAACCTTGTCCAACTGACGACGACATTTTCTCAAATCGCTAACCGATGCTGCCTCGCAGTGACAGAAACAAACAGAAGCAGAAACACTAGCCACAGTAATCATGGCCACTGCAAGTGCACGTTATTGTCGTAAGTGTGGTTTCAAAGTTTTATCGTTGGCTTTCAAGATCGTCTTGTATGATACCACTAAAAGAGTATCATAATGCTTCTTCTTCAAGGCCAGGCGCGCAACTACGGGGGGGGGGGGTCCTGGGGGTCCAGACCCCTGCCCTTTTTCTCAAAGGGGGAAAGTGCCCTTTTTCTTGGAAAATTGCTTGAATATTTTGGTTATTACGCTAAAATGGTTGGTCATACAGTAAATGACACACTCCGGAGATGTAATGGACCTCGCAGGAATACAGATAAATGATTTAGTCAATTTTTCACGCACTTGTTGGGTCGAACGTCATCATGTTGCAGTAATAGAGTCTATCTTCAAGCCCCAACTCTACAGCGTGTTTTATGATGCGCTACGCACTGGCTTTGAAGAAGAATGGTTCTGGGACTCAAAAACCAAAATAAAGGCACAAGATTTTGAACGGAATGGGGCCTCTACGACCTCTGGTAAAAAGTTACAAGAAAGAAACCAAGACTTTTTTCAAGCCTGTCACATAGTTTACAGGATCATAGAGGACCTTTGCATGAAACGAGCGAATGCAGAGAAAAATTTTCGGACTGGTATTAGCAAGCAGTAAAGATGGCACAAAAAGTTGATGTTCAGCTGTTCCGTTCCTTGTCAGTATTACAAATCAGCTGAAGGCAAGACTTGGAAACAGAAACCAGCTGAAGTCAAGGCTCGCGGAACTGTTCAACCTCCTCCCATCTGTAGTGCGAAGCAAAGAATTCAATAATAATAATTTAAAGCGCAAAATGTCTTCGGAAATTGAAGATGATGGGCAGCTTTTCAAAAGTGAGTTGGCGCTGGGAAAAGGAGATGACAGCAGGGTCGCCGAGAGGGGAACAAAGGGGCAAATTGCCCTAGGGCCTCGAGGTCTAGGAGCCTCATAAAACAATGAATTCCTTTTTTAAATGGAATTTATTAAAAGTAACAAAATTACACTTAAAAAGTAAAAAATCTTAAACAAATTAGTGAATTTAAGCCATTTGCAAGGGTGTGGTGGCAAAATTTTTGCTCGCTTCGCTCGCAAGAGGCATTGTTTTTTCCGTTTCCCCCCTCCCTCGGGTCTCCTAAACTTCTCGGTGGCACTGGATGGCAGAGAGAAAGAAGTCATGTGCATAGTTAACATTAAAAGGAAAAAATAAATCACACCTCACCACATAATAAACCATACACCACAACTTTTCTCTATTGATCTGGCGTACAATATTTACAGATTTACTAACTGCTCATATTTTCGGTGTACCTAAACAAATGCCCCGGTGGACCTTTAATGAAGTTTAATTAGTGCCCTTTTTGTGTCTTGGACCCCTGCCCTCTGAAATTTCTGGTTGCGCGCCTGAAGGCCATTGCCTGGATGGTAAATTTCCCTTCCTACCAAATCTTGAAAATAATTCATCCACCGTGTTGTTCGATTGCGTTTATATTCTTCAAAAAAGGCTTCGCTTCAAAACAATGAGGCAATTTTAGGTGCCAAAAATAAGAAGCAAACTAAGAAACATCAAGAACTTAAACGCCAAAATTTGGATGCCAAATAAAGAAACTTTTAGTTTATAATGCTGATCCAATTTTTTATTTTTTAAAAAACGTGCAATTCTCTGTCCGAACAAATAACAATAGAAAATTCGAAGAAACTGTGTTCGTGGAGCATACATGCTATGCTACGATGCTCAAAATGCTTGAAGCTAAGATCAAGATTTGTTCAGTACGTTTGGGGAATTAATGGGGGACTAGGCCCTTAGCCCCTTTCCCTGGCAAAAAGAGTTGCTCAACTGTGCCAGCGTGTTCTTGGAACTTTATGCTATATCGTACATGTCTGATATTGGCAACTGTTCAGTTTTTTTTATAATAACGATAATTTTCATCACAACAAAACCTTGTGTACATAGCTCACGAGAAGGCGTTTAATCCTATTTGTACGTGCAAAGACAAAACCTTCTTTTAGACAAAATGTGCTATGACATATTCACAGAAAAATGTCTTACTGAGAGTCACACTAGACTTGAAGAAGAGCCAATGTAGCCACTTCAGATAACTGAGAAAGAAAAAGAAGTTGCTCCTACAGAATATGGCAGCTCGCTCTTCGCTCAAGAAATATTATGGATGGGTAGATTGGAGAACCTTCTACACAACGTAAACGATTAAAGCTTCCAAGCGTCCTGTCATTTGATATCAAACTGGATCTTTTATTCTCATAACGGTACCGTTGTCATGAGAGTGTTTGTAATCAAACTTCAAGATCTACGTGGTTTATATCTCCAAGGAATTTACCTTAGATGCTTGACAGGTTACCTTTTATGCGACCAGTGGACCAAACAGGCTGTAGCATAGGAAATCAGCATAAACTATTGAATTTGGTAACCCTAATATGTAATTTGATATGGTTAAGGGAATAAACCAAGAAGTTTTGTTTTCTTTGCACAACTGTTAGCTTGCCTTTTCTCAGAGCATTTTATTTGCCGTCGACTCCCCAGAAAGAATTTCACTCAGAACACCAAACGACATATGGGCCTACTGAGTTTTGTTTATTAAACACTTCTCCCTCCTGATGTTGAGCTTTTTTAGCCTTTTGGAGGCTTTTTATCTGAAAATAATTGATTTGGTTTATCCACTCCAAAGTAAATTCCAAGTTTGTTCTCTGAAGTCCACTAACATGGAGATTTAGAAGTGCTCAAGTTGGTCTCTATCTCCTCAATGTATTTGCCCCTGAAAATGAAGCAAAAAAAACTGCGTTTCGTACATATGTTGATCACAGTCGATCGCTCATGCCATACCATTTACTGAAAAAAGGATACACTTGGATCACGGATTGACCCATTTTTAATCACTGGATTTTGATTATTCTTTTCCAATAATGACAGCAAATGATAAGAGTCATTGAAGTCAAAACAGGACCCACGCCACCGGGGGGCCATGACACCCCCCCCCAGTTTTTTGCAAAGCAAGTAGTTTTAAAGCTGCCTTGGCCTCTACTTTTGGTAGCCTTGTCCCCCTCACTTTCTGTAACAGGAATAGCCTTCTCTAATATGATTGGACAATTTAGTATCCGTAGTCTCGTTTTCCTGTATAATTAAATGAATGAACCCTTTACATTTTCTTAGCTCTTAATCATCTTTTGTTTGTGAATTTATATTTAAGTAAGTTATTTTACATGAAAGAGGAGTTGTTGCCGAGGTAACAAGAGCGTCTTTTTATGCATCCCGATTCTTCGAGGGAACCTCTCACATTTCAAATTCATGGCGTAGGCCCTGCAATATATGTCTGTTTTCTGAAAATCTCATGGTCAGTTGGGTGCTTTTTGTAGATCAACCAAAATGCCTGTTAGCAAATCACTTTCAAACCCTCGGTGGATCTTATCACCCAAGTAAGCTAAGCAAGAATCCTTCTAGTGGAGTGCACGAGAGGCACGTTGGTACAGTTTCATCGAAGTACTTTTTTACTTGACTGTGGATAATCTTTTCTACATCTTTTGCGCAAACAATAAAATTAATCGACAACATTGGAATCATATTTCAATACTTTTTCAAAAAAAATGCTGTAGCTTTGCTTATTGAAACAGAACGGCAAAAAGGGATGTCGGATTGACAAATTGCATAGTATAGTTGTAGACACTGCTAGAGCAATTGCACCATTCTTGAGGAATTTCCTGGCAATAGAAATGAATGTCAAAGTATATAAGAATGAGAGAAGAAAGCAAACAAGTGGGCCATGTATATTTTTTGCAAAGTAAATATAAATGTATTATGCAAAGTGTTATAAAAGCGGTATGAAAAATAACTTATACCTTTAATATAAAAATGAGTGGAAGATAAATTAAGCAATAAAATTGGAATACCAAGTATAAAAGATCAAACGAGACTTAGGTTCAAACCTTAAAACTAATACTTAAAACTAATGTTATAAAGTTAATCAATATTCTTCGTTGACAAAAAGACAGCATTTACGTTTTAACGACAAGGTGTGTTGATAATTGGATTATAGTTCTGTTACTGTAGCTCTTTGTAAAATTTAAAGCAATCAAATCCCGACAATATAGGTTTGCACGTATTTCAAAGCTTTGGCAAATCACGTGAACATTTCTGAAAAATATTGACTGCATGAAGATGGTTGAGAAAAATTGAAGCTGGTAAGGAGCTGTTGATCCAAAATTTGCTTAATCTACGGCCGTCAATGCGATAATCTTTGCATTGTTTGAAAGGTTAATCTTCGCAATTTTTCTGAGATCGAGACTTGTGTGCAAGAAGCTTAATCTTTTAAAATAAAACCAAACCCGTAAGATTCGTGGAAAATCATCAGTTGAATTAAATAATTATGAAAGAAGCTTAAGAAATACTTTCTGAAATTTTGTCATTCTTTTAAAGTATGGTAACACGCGAAGTTTTAAGATGACATCTTTCAACATAATATGGTTTTATTGAACGTTCATGTTACCCTTTTTAGATAAATTTGATAACTTAATTTTCATAGCATAAAATTTCTATAAATTTGCAACTCAAGCTCTGAATCTACTTTCATGTTTCCGATCTCTTCCACTTTCTTCAATGCGATCGCGGTTTCTTCCACGCAAGTCGATCGAAGTTATCATGTCTATGTTCCTACAAAGACAAAACACGTGAAAATATTGAAGGACGGATCGAAACAGAGTAGAACAGACCGAATTGGGAAGGCTTAGTATAACTTAATCGACTGAACTCGTCTAAGCACAAATTGTTCATACTTACTCATCCAAGTACTTGATTTTAAAGTTGCTTTTATGCTTAGCGGCAAGTTTCAGCCATTCAGCACTCAAACTATGTTTCCAAGAATGCACCTCTACGTTCCAGCCGTGTTCAATTGCAGCAGAAGCGCACTCTGGGAAGCTTGTGCCTCCGCTGCTCTTTCCCTTGCTGCCATCTCCCGATGCTAGGACCAGCGTGTGGGGCGGCATTTCAATTATTGCCTGGAAGAAATTTCAAACGTCAAAAGGCTTTCAAAAGTATTAGATTTGATTTGAAGAAGATCCCCTGGAAAAATGAAACTTTATGCATAAATAAATCTCTATCCCGAGACTCCTGATTCCGCACCACGACGGTAAGACATTGTACAGTAATAGTAATTTTTGGTTTCAATACAGCATTAGCTACCAGAATGCTGCCTGCAATATAAGATCTGATACATCAAAAATAAAAGTCACACAAACATGAAATATTGGCAACTAAGCCGGTATCTGGGGGACTAGTAATTGGAACTGATGCTGATTAGCGAATAAATATTTCAATTTTCTGCAAAAATATGACGGTAACTGATCAAAGAGATCTAGCCAAAGAGATTATCACAAGTTCTAGGTCGTAATGGAATTCAGTGGATCAATAGACGCGAAGCTAAGGTAATTTTACTGGTGCTTTGCGAAAAAGGTTTGTCCAGACTCAAGTTGCACAGGTGATCTCTCGCACACTTTGATTGGCGGAGTGAATATGAGCCTTTATCACTTCAGCTCTAGCAAGTTGAGACGTTGCCTAAGGTCAATTGGTCATCGCAAGAATATTGCTAAAACTTTGCTTTCCCCTTTAATGATGCAGTATATCCTCACAAAATACTTCAAGAAAAGAATTGCAAAATGTGAAAAGTACCTTGTAAATGTACAGGTGCAGCTGTTCGTCAACTCTTTGCTCGTCTTTCCCTCTTCGATCTTCGAGGTCGACCGTATAGCCTAAGCGTCTGAAGTAATTTAAGAGGAAAGTAAATAAGTTAATGAAATAAGACATGGGTCAGTGCATGGACTTGAAATGGGGTCAGAACATGGTCACAAGGCTGTTTCCCCAATAAAGGAGATATGGAGTGTGTAAATATACCTTTAACATTTGAAAAAGTAGAATTGCGAAACACGCTAAAGATGAGAAAAATTCAATACCATATACAAAGAAACGGAGGATTTCATAGTGTAAGGTTCACCCAATCAATAAATCAATAATTCTTGTTATAACAACGATCGACCGTACAAAACGTCATTGTCTAGAGCATACCTATACACATCCCAGACGTGTTCGTTGGCCGGGGGGGAAGATCCACAGGCAAATCGTCGTGATACTTTCCGTCCGTTCTCGAGTACATGTGCTAATGCTTGTAAACGGACTTTGACGTGCCTGGGTCGAAGTTTAGGACTGCGGGCACATGCTGCTTCACGGGCGCCTATAAAAACGTTGCTGTTATCGATAACAATGAAGGACTCTTCGCTTGGGCCAGTTATTTTAGGAGGCTGCTCAAATGATAATTCCAAGGGCTGGTCTGCTTCTGTTTTCATGATTTCACCCTCCGAGACTGAGCGTAATCTGTCTTTTCTCGGGGTCTTGGGAAGGTCATTCCCCAGACTTGAAGCCCTTGCTCGTGACATATCCCAAGAATCCGATCGTGGTTCCTTTATCTTGGAGATAATTTCTGGTGGTCTCTGAAATAGAGCAGAAACTTGAGATGGAAGAGCAATGTAGATCTGGACCTAGAAAATGCGGCTTCATTGAGACTTTCAGCGAGAGACTCGCCTAGTGACTTTCTTTAAACACAACTGCTGGCAAGGAAAGTTGCAATATTTTGAGAATAAACTGGATGAAAGCTTTTAACAAGAGAACAAAACAAACCAAAATAGAAAAGGGCAACTTATTTAACCAGCATTTTGATATAGATGCCTTTAAAGTCATATCATGCGAAATGTGAGCTCGGTGATTACGAAAGCTCACAAACGAATGACATTGTCACAAAAAAGGTCATTCTGCATGGCAATCCAATTATTCACAATAATTGCACATAGACAAGCATCCAAAACCAGCACGTTGTTAAACTAGCATACCTTCAGCTTGGCTTGATCTTTGAACAAATTACTCTTTGATTTAGCCTGGCCATGCTGCTTTTCAATGCCTGCAGAATGATCCAACGGCATATCCAAGCAGGTATCCTTCGCAGAGGACGAATCTTGTTGCGTATCGCTCACCTCCAAGTTATAGATGAAGTGCAATAGAGTCTTGTTTGGTAAGGTGGCATCAAAGGACACTGCGGAATACTGCCAAAGGTAGTACCGTAAGAACCTTTAAAGAAAAACAAGAAATTTGAAACAATATCTGTTTGATAAAGATAATCATTTGGTTAAGAGCCCTAGCATTGTTTCGCAGACACGCTGTTACAGGTTGCTAGCCGAAATAATGTTTGTTTGTCATAACATACGTTCTGCGGAGTTTTCCTATTATTTTTTAACATGAATATGCAAATTAAAGATTTTGTTTACATGCGAATTTATCATTCTCAATTTCATATTTGGATATTGACTGTTTGACATTGATTCATATCAAGTAACAAAATTGACACAACGATTTTAGAGGTAGCAAATTTCAAATAAGAAAATAATTGTACTGTGGTATTTGAGTGATTGGTGAATATCAATAAGTCAAGACTGGGCAAATCCTCTTTAAAACTTCTCATCAAATATCATAATGGTGTCATTTGGTAACACGGTCTAATAACAAATGTTAAGTCAGTACATTCTACAGACGAAAATTTACATGCAATCCAGACTTGACAACTTAAGGCTTTATGTCTGCAGATACTGATATTTCCTAAAGGTTGAGGCTTTGTTGTCAGTTGTGACAAACAAATCTAGATTTTCCTTACCTCCAGAAATATACTGTGAAGATGACCAATGTTGTCAGCAATGTTACAATAGCGAGGGGTGGAAGCACCAGCAAAAACACTCTTCTCTTGCCAAAGAAAGGTTTTTTCTCTAAGTTACTTCTTTTGCTGACAGCTAAGAAATATAAAATAAGATGTTATTAATACACATTTGCATAGATAGGTTTGATCGCCATAATGATGCATAACATTTAACCCAACGCTGTCAATGTTGAAATAATAGCAAAGAAAAGTTGAAAAGCTTGGCAGTATAGGGTCTTTGATACAGGGTATACTTACCCTATGTGAAGGTTGCAAACAGGGTTCTCCATTATCTTCCTAAGAACAGCAGCTTGGCAGATGTGGCAAGGGGAAGGGATGACAAGTGGAGCAGGCTTAGCTGGTGGGGTCGAGGGGGCTTTCAGAGGGGAAGCTCTTTCATAGCAACATTTTGAATCCTAGAAACAATCCTTTTTCAAACAAGCTATGCCATTGGTTTTGTGTTAACTTATTGCTGATTTTAGTCTTTCTCAAACACCATCTTTTTTACTATTGAGGGTGGGGTGCAAATCTTTGCTCCTAACTCATTATACTAACTTGTGTCTGAGAGAAATATTCCTACTGAAATACACATCAGCATATACAAACTTTCACTACAGCAGCATGATTGTAAAAATGTATGCATACAAGATGCATGATTCTCAAATCTCTTACAGAGATGAAATGCATTTTGGCAACCAGAAGGGCAAAGAGCTGTATAATGTTACCAGGCAAGTTCCCACCTGGTCCTTTTACACTTCTTTAGGGCCATTATGGTTTGGAATTGGAAACTTGAATTTAGCTGTGAAATCTTTGTGAATTTTATTGAAATCTCAGTTTGCCACAACAACAACTCCAGACATTTTCCTCTATGTTCTAGTGTTATTCATGCAAATTCAACAAGAGATAGCTTTTTAGGCACACAAAGTTTTTTCTGGGAGCTTAAAGCTGTAATGCTGGGTTCACCTTCTGTGTTTAACTAATTTTATTGCTACATGCATGCAGATAAAGTACAGAAGGACAGTAACTATTCTTCAGGCCTTGCCCGGAAAGGCGCTCGATCGAGCGCGCGCGCCTAGAGCGCACCCAAAAGAAGCCTTGGAGAGCGATTTATAGAGCCCCTTAAAACGTAAAAACAATATTAACACGGAGCAAAATAAATTTTTGGAATTTGTTGAATCAACTTGATCAAGCATAAACAATCTTCCCAACAGACCGCAATATTATGATTTGCGTAAGATTACCCCTTGAGAAAAAATTCAGCAAATTCAACGTTGGGTTTTCGATATCATTTTAAATCTAATAACCCTCTAATAACCATCAAGAATACAGGCCATCAAGCGTATTCTCTGGCAGATTTATTTGATTTTTGAGCAAGCGTTAATCTTCTATTGAAGTATATAAATATTATTTTCTGTTTTTCTTAATAACTTAAAATCGCCTGTGCAAATCAGCGATCACGTTTCCGTCCAAATTATCGCATTGCTTTTCATTTGAGTTTGCGAGTAGTAGATGTTCTGGCGTTTCTTATAGAATGGATAACATGAAAAAAGGAAACAAAGTTAAATGTTCGATTTAAAGCCATATGCGTTTTGATGAAGCAATATGTGAAGCTGAGCATAACAGTAGTGATACTGACACTGATAAAAGCTCATCGCATGATGGCAACTTACATATCTAGAAAAATCTGAACAATTTTGCGACTTTGTTCTGTTATATTTATATATTTACATTAACATAGTGTTTGTTGCATGTTTTGTTATTTCATATTATGGTGCTTTCTGGTATCACCGTTGAATTTCATATTTAACATTCTTCCGAAGCTTTTAATATGAAGCTCTCGATCTTCCAAAGCTCTCGAAGGATGCTCTCAAGGAAATTTACTTAGAGGTGCGAAATAGAGCGCCTAGAGTTTCTAAGGGGCTCTTTTTATGGAGCACCTTCATTTTACTTAGAGCAAGGCCTGACATAGCTTATTTTTTTAGAATATTTTTCAAAAAGGACTGTTTTACAGCATTCTTAAGAGTCCAAGAATTTCCCATGGAATGTCTCTGATCCTCTGTCACTCTGCTAACCTGTAGAGAGATCCCTGATCCCACCACCCCCCCCCCCTGTTTTGATAATGCATATTAGACAGGTGGACCTGAGAGTTGTAGAATTACCTACACGTTCTGGAATGCTTTGAAAACGAGAAATACTCCGCAGTGAATTATATTATCATACACTGACGAGTGTTACTATCAATATGGGATACAATGGACTAGCGTGAATAGGCTCCAAATTGCAAAAAGGAGACAGTTATGATATAAATATGGGTTGTGTCATATTTGAGGCTTTTTGCTGTCTCTAGAATTTATTCAGTTAAAAAGGTTGATGACTTTGACAAAACGAGAAAGATGAAAACTAAAGGAGGTGTGCTATTTGCTTTGACTGCAAACAGGCAACCGTATTTGTCAATCAAATAGAACATTTCGATTGTCTGGCTGACGTGTCAATGCATAGATCTAGAAGTATTTCCTGGTAATCTCTCTGTTCTTTTGTGACGTCCGTCAAGCAACCATAATCTGTTTGTAGGTCCACAGCTTTGACTTTTTATAGACGTTGACTTTAGGGCATTTCCATTGGTTTTGAATCTGATGGTTTTTCCTGCTCCATAACACGAGGAATTTCCTTGCCTGTTATTATTTTTTTGCATATTCCTATTTTATTGCTTGCCCAGGCTTGCTTAATCGTGTATTCACATTGGGAAGCTGCAAAGCTCTTTTTATCCTTTCGTGCACGTTAAATACTCGAAAGTTCATCAGGTCAACGACAGAAAGGTCAACTAGGGCTAATTATTGGTGTGACAATGAAAAACATAAATTACGCTATTCTGACGCTATTGTAACGAAACCTCACGTGTATCTAGTTGAACTACTACTTGAAGCTGATTTTGGTGTTACTAAACACCCGTAAAATAAAGGAAAATAAATCAAAGATAATTGGTTTAGAAGTCTTTTCTGCCAGATTTCTTTCCTACAAGAAACAATTTTGCAAGTACAGGAAAACTTGTTTTGCTCTTGACAACTGTACAGGATCATGTCTGAAACATGTCCCTCTTCTTAACAAAGGGATTGCTCCCCTTCTCCTTCAGGAAGGAGGAGGCCTCTACCAATGGGTTATTGTGTTTTTAAACTCAATATTAAAGTTTGCATGAACGACTTACTCAATACAAAAACTACGAAC